TTTCAAGGAATCCCATTACCTTCACTTTATAATGACCCAGATGCACAGACCACTGTCTGCAGTGACATAAAATTATTCATTTTCACAGCAATTTAAAGGAATGAACCCTTTAAGGGCTGTGCTCACTGATCAAAAAGGCCAAGCTCTTAGGGCATAGAAAGCTCTGAGAAAGCCACATCCTCTAGAAGACTCAAGATGAAGCCTCAAGACCTGAAGACTTTCTTCGGCCTGCCTACGCAGGTCCATGCATGAACTAAACTTTGCTAGCACAAAACTATCAAAACAAACTGGTCGTGTGCACACACCTGTGGGGATAATGTGTCTTGCAAAGTAGAATAACGATGCACTTTCTTGGCCTTCCGCTCATTTTAAATTAAGACACAGGACTGCAGAAACCATGCTTTTACACTGAACAGTCCATTGCTGATATCAAACCTTTTATTGCAAATTCAAAAGGGGATCTTTATTTAACGGGCCCAACTTTTGTTTTAAATAAGGTATCTCAAGACTAAACCCTTATGCATATAAGAGTTTCCAGTGCTGCCTTGGGTAGGCTTTACTTTAAACAACTCAGCTAAAATAATTTATCTCTACTCCATGCTCTGTGAGAAGTTGCCACTAAATAGAATCCCGGACATTTTTCCTCCTTATCTTCAGTGCTGCTGGTATCAGCCAAGCTGTCAGAAGACCGTGCCTGATATAAACAAGAGATTGCAGAGACATCTCAGTAATCAATATAAAGAAGGCTACAGTATGGAAGCTACTACTGCATATCATCTGTCTCTGCATCTATTTCTATGACCAAATGAAGCATTAATTCAAATCATAAATCTATGGTGATTTAAAACTGGGACTGAGCACCTGCCTGCTTTAATGATTTATTTTGTACATTTCAGTAAGCAGGAGATTTGTCCATATGAAATGACAGGTCACCTTCAGATGCCAGGACCAGACTGTTTATCACCATGTAGACGAGCATCTCATCTTAGCAAATAAATATTAAACTAAAAAGAATCCGATGAGTTGTGGAAAGGAGAGAGCAAGTATTATAGTCATATATTTTACTATTCCTGCATGCAGAGTTTTCTGTGCATTAAGGGAGTAATAAATGATCAGTTATTATTGTCAATTACCCCATTTCTATTATTTTTAGAGTACCTATATTAAGAGATAACAAATATAATACATTGCGATACAACACAACACAGAGCCAGAACAGTGCAGTGGTTAAAATGTTACACAAGGGTTGGGGGGAACCAGGTTTAAATCCACCCTCAGCCGTAGAAGCTCACTGGTGACCTTCTCATTGTTCTGCCTCCAGTGCAAGGATGTTAACGTCAGAAGTTCATCAAAAGTGTTGAAAATCACACAGCAAGGAGCAGGTGAACGTGCAAAGAAGCCCAAAACTGTAGAAGCTGACAATTATGAACCCTGAATGATTAATTTGAAACAGCCCAAAATATAATTAAGTCTCTATCTCCTCTTCCTAAATATGTCACTATCCAGACTTCCTGGCTCCCAGAAGTATCATTTTTAAACTGCTTTACTTGGGCCAAATTTCATCCAACCTTCATCAAACACAGTAAATGTCTAGAGGAATTTCATCTATAACAGGTTTCATGTTCCTAAAGTGTCTTCAGAAACAGAGAGAGAAGGAATGTTGAAGGACACTCCTGTACTCTCCTAACAGAATTTTATTTCCATTACTGTTCCAACTTATGGCCATGCTTTAATCTCTTCTTTAATTTCAGAACCTCTATGCAAGCTTTCAGTTCAGACCTCTAGAAAAAACCCTTCCCTTCAGCCTGCAGATTTACTGACAGAGAAGAGAGATGTCAGAAGTATAAAGGGGATCTCAGAGGAAAGGAGATCTCCATCAATTTTTGGTATGGCTCTAGACCCACCATTCTTCCCCCACTCCAGTTCCACCCTTCATGTAGTCTTTCATAAGGAAAGATGGACTTCAACAACAGCTGGCTTCTAAGTTTCCATATGAACATGTTCCACTGTTGAACTGAACTTACTGTAAGGAGATTTTTCCTAACACTGAACCAGAATCGGTTTACACGCATGATATGCTTTTAGGTCCCCGTTACTAGTTGCACGGTAGGGCTGGCAAGACTTCAGATTGTAAGGCGCAAAAAAAAAATAAAAAAAATTGGGGGACACAGAGGGGCATTCACACAGCATCTGTGGGAGCTCCTTAAAGCAGCTGAGTCTTTTCCTGGGATTACCCAGCTGCCTTCTGCAGCCGCACCACTGTCTTTGGAAAAGACACGTTTGTTTATGGAGTTACAGACAGATGCTTACAATGACAAGAGTAACTCAGAGTCAAATACTGCCTGAATGACGTCCATTATTAGAATTTATTCTCAGGGCTACTGGAGGAATGAGGACAGCCATATCATGCTTATGGGAATGCCCTCACTACACAAGTTGTAAAGAAAGATAAAACAATACAGGACAGTCTAACAGGAACGATGATGTAGTTGAAGTTCGTAGAGTGACTTTGAGAAGTTTACAGCATGAAGACAGGAAACACAAAGTCTCCTTCAAGCTATGCTCTATTCCTGATGATTACTACGTTGCTTTCTTGGCCGAAGCATGGATGAGGCTTGCCACTGGCTTTTTCTGAGGTGCTTTTTGCAACTTCCCACTCCAGTCTACAGCACTGGAATGTCTTGATAGTTTCCCATCCAAATACTAGCCAGAACCAACCCAGCTTCACTTCCTGAAGGCCAGCCAACGTCAACTAGGTGGTACCCTCTGATGAACTGAGAAGCTAGAATGGAAGTTTTCTCTCTTGAAAAATAACGTTTACACAAATAGCCACTCTAAAAACATCTCCAAGCAGGGATGGAGGAACAATGCAGCTTTATGCCTGTCCCTCAATCTCACTCAATTCAACTTATTTTTGGGTAGATAAATATAGTTAACTGATTCTCCCTACCTGCCACCAAAAAGATATAGTTCTATGCTCATTCAATTTTATCCTTTTAAGTCTTCCAGTAGGATCTCTGTCAAACCCATTACTTAGTTACGACTGGAATTCAATAAACCAGGAGTAGAGACACCAGAGTTTTGCCTTCCTTCCAAAAAGTCACTGAAACCTTGCAGGACGGTGAACCCTCGGACAAGAGTAGTAACATTGCAAGAGATCTCATGTAATGAGGCTAAAAACTGACAAGGCCTTTCTGGCATCTTGTGTGATTTTAGCCATTTCATGTGGGCGATCTTGCTCAAGAAGAAACCTTGCGAGATTTCAGACATTTTTCTTTTGCTACAACTAAGACCTGAAGATGGCACCTGGGTTACAATCCTTGCAAAAGGGTCAGTTCCATGAAACTCAGCATGCGGTTTACCATGAGGCTGCACAGATTTTGCCAAAGACGTACTTTGCGAGGCACGCTGGTGCCTACAAAAGGACCTCCCTTCTAACCTATTAAGCCACTGTGGCGGCTGCCCTGGGTTTCTTCTCCTAAGGAAGCAAGTGGCAAGTGCCTCCTCATGCCTACGAGACAGCCGGGAGCCGCTTACGAAGCAGATGCCAAGCCTACTCAGCCGCCTGGACGATTCAAAGGGAGGCATCTCATGTCAGCAACCACACGGGGCAGATCACCTCTTCTGAATCCTACACATTGACAGCAACACCCACCTTCACCACATATGCATTTCCCAGGCATCCTTCCACGTCCCAGCAAAGGATAAAACACTTCAGTGATAACAGAAATTACCGTTCTTAATATTAACTTTTTAATCTCTGACTAGCCTCCAAATACTCTCTAACAGCCCTCCAAAATATATATATTAAGCAATGGTTTTTGTTCTGTAAGTTAGAAAAACAGAAGACGTTCTTCACCACTTTTCACTTCTCAGTTGATTTAAAGACAGTTGAACTAAAGTTCTTAGGTTTTCCTCCTATCCTTTTCCCTCATGTTTAAATAAGATTTGGGGCTGTTGTTAGTTGTCCTTGTTTCTTTACCCATCCTTGAGGCCAGGTATGGTCATGGCAATTTTGTTCCGTAGACCCGCAGCATTTTCTATGGCTGAAACATTAACAGCAAAGAGGAAAAAACTGCTCGAAATCTGCTGACACGGGCATCTTGGTTCCTTTTGTTCTTGGGTAGGAGTTAAATAATAAATATGTACAGGGAGATCCGGAACAAAAAAGTTGTCAAGCTGTCATCCTTAAGAATAACCTCAAACATTTGCAGAATAGAAAAAGTATATATTAGATTGTCATGTCTGGTTTACATCTATGCAACCTCTGCCATGAACAGCAGTTAACAGAACTCAAATTCAGCTTTCAGTTCACTCACTAATTTATCTCAGAGAGCAGAAAGCAGCCATTATGATGAAATGCCCTTAAAGGCTGTGGCCATTGCAAGAATATTTAAGAAGAAGAAATTGGCTACGTAGATAAACCACGTTCTGTGTGTGTGTGTGTGTGTGTGTGTGTGTGTGTGTGTGTGTTATGAGGCAGAAAGTGTTGTCAAAAGTTTCAAGTATTTAACATGGGAGAGGGAAAAACAAGATACTTTTAGGCATCCATAAAACCAAAATAGCCACTATTTCAAAACTTTTTCTGTCCTTCTTCCTTTTGGATTTAGATAGGCAGGGCTGAAGTACTTTGCTTTCTACGAGCATAACCTGAGTCCTATTTTTTATTAGCCCAGTTGAATTCGGTGAGTTAACAAGAATGGTGAACCCAAAGCATTTTTTGAAGCGCTACCCTGGAAATGATCGGGCTGTTGATTGTTTCCACAGGACAGACAGATTTTCTGATTTGACAGCTTTATTGAACGGTGCATTTTCAGATAGCATATTTAGAGCTTGTTAATGTACTTCTGCAAAAAAAAAAAAAAAAAACCTGGAAAAATGACAGTGCTTAAAAAAAGACCAGGCTCAAAGGAAAACAAAACTGAACAAACTAAAGCTGCAACTTCTCTTCATGAGGGTAAGAATCTTTGTCAAAATCCTCCTTTCGATCAGAAACTTACCCACAGTAGAATTTAGGTCCCCGTTTTCAGACTCTGCTGCGTGCTGGTTATTATTGGCATGGTAGTTTGACATTGCTTCTAATTTAATTTTTTTCACCTTCATTGCTTCCGCGATGGCAGCGTTGGTGGCTGCGGCCGCAGCAGCAGCCGCAGCTGTCAGACCTGCAACGAAAGAGGAATAACGGCCATGAAATCACAGCTTCTATCGACTGTCCCTTTGAAATCACCCTCTTCCGGGAAATCATGGTCAAGTTCTCAAGGAGCGAACGAGCTTCCAAAAAGGGAGGGAGGAATAACAATCAGCTGAAAATGACAGCAAACTTCTCTAGACCTTTGCGGCCAAGTAAGGTTTGTACAATCGCCCCTTCGTGCTTCTAGTTTTATTAGCTTAAATCCCACTTAGCCCTACTTAGAGGCAACCAACTGAAATCATGGGGATTCAAGTTGGTCATCTTTAGTTGTGTTAAACTAAGGAAGTTATCTCTAATCTCACTGATTTCAAGAGATGTTCTCCAGTATTTAATCCGGATTTGGGCCCTTGTGTTTTTATCCATTAAGCGCTAGGCATAGTTCTGAGCTCCACATTCAAAATTAGGCATACCTCCTAGGCTAAACCGAGAAATGTGGGGAAAGGATTTGTTTTAACCCATGCCCTGCGTGAGATAATCCATTTGCTCAGCCTGCACCTGTTGCTTTGCCTTCTCTTTTATGCTTCACTCCAGCCTTAAAGACTGATGTGCCACCTGAACCCAGTCAATCGTTCTTTCCCAGATGCTGGAAATCAAGAACACTGAAATACGTAAGAAGGATAGTGTAACCCTTAACCAATTTTTAAAAATGAACAAAACCCTTACAACTCCCTACAAAACTCAGAAAACCTGAAAGTCCTGGGATATGAGAGGTTGAATTCCACATTAGACCACTATATTGAAGATACATATCAAGAGTAGTTAGTGTCCAAGCTTACAGATGTCCACAACAACGTGGCCCTCATCTGGGAGGCCTGAAATCTACTTCTATAAAGCCTGGGGCAAAGATGAAACAGCATTCAGAGAGTTTGTTCTAAGAGGTGTCTTATGAATGCAGATAATAAGTGCCGCTTGGTTAGAACCCCAGAACAGAAACCATGATGGAGGTTCTATGCCCACACGGAATTCTATCTGTCTTTGAGATCTGATTTGTGAGCATGAAGACTGAACTTTTTTTTAATAAGGTTCTCTTCAGGTGTACGAGAACTGCAATTTCCAGAGGACCCAGCTCCCAGTCAGCCTAGCCAAGAAAAGGATCAGGTCAATAGATAATAACAAAACTGAAAGCAACAGTTTGCACAATCCAGAAAGTGGAGATACGGTATAGCACTAGCAACATCACAACAAGAAATACACAAGATAAAATATTTATGCAACCTTTTCGAGAGAGAAAGGGGAGGCAATGTCCTTTCACTATCCCGGTTACTTGCACCTATGTCTCGACCTCGCGGTAGACTTATGGTTTCATCATGGCAACCAGCATATTCCGTTAAGAATTTGACTGGAAAAAGTTATTTGCAACAGGAATTTGAAATATCTTTTTTTTTTTAATTAGTCCGAGTGGTATTAGCATGGGAGGAGAGAGAGAGAGAGAGAGAGAGAGGAGGATGTAAATAATGCTGAAAAAAGCCACCCTATTGCAGTTATCATTAATATTCCGAAATTGATAATCTGTTTATGTCTAGCATTTTTCCTGCTGATTATTCAGTGAGACAAGCCACTTTATAAATATCTCATCACTCCAGCGTCACACAAATTTCATCGACAGTGCTTCTGCAGAGCCATTAGCAATATGAATCTAACCATTACAAGAGGGAGGAAAAAATCGAACATGTGGCATTAATACGCAGCCCTGGTTCCTAACCATCTGATAGGCAGATGGTGTAAAGTAGATTCTCCAGCTGAAATGAAGGGGCGCATCATTTAAAACCTTGTTTGCATTCTAACTGATATCGCTGCCATATTGCTATACAGGATGCATCATGGCAATATTTGAACAATCTAGTTTGTTTCAGTCATAAATGTTTACAGCCTTGTTTTTTATCTTTAGATGCATGTTCTGAAGCACATATTTTTAATTTATGAAATCTATTGTTTACTTCTGTGGAACCAGGAGATTAGCAAGGCGAAGGAATACAAAATTACCACTACCACAACTGAAGGACGAATAAAATATTGGGTGTGCATGTGTTTTTCTTCAATAAAGATCGTTAGTAAAGGAATTAAAAAAAAATTAGCTTAGGCATTTTACGCATTACATTTATTCATTAAACTTAACAGCTTTTCCCCCATGTGACAGACTTAGAAGTTTAATGTTATCACACACAGCTCTTCATGTAAAGCTCTCACTGTGTGCAATTAATCTTGTCCCGCAATTCTATTCAAAAAGCAAAACATTAAAAAGTAAAATCCTGCTCGGTAATTGTAGTTCTGAAGGAATCTTCCCTTCCACTGACAGTTCCTATGGATTTATGCAGAAAAGTCTTTTTAAGGGGTCTTGTAGGAGCTGAAGCGAACTTGAATTATAACTCAATTCAACACTCTTCAAGTCTTCAAGCTACGTAGGTCGGGTCAGAACTTCAGCCAGATGCTGACAACCAACTGAAGACGCACAGGATGAGGCCTCACCCAATCTTCTCCTTCGCGTAACACAGCAAAGTGATTTTCTTCATCATACATTTCAAAAGGTTCATTACCAACATTCGAACTTACAAAGTTTAAGATAATGTGAATTTTAAATATTTCGCTGGGTAATACCAAATAAAACGCTTCTGAAAAATGTTTCTGTTATTGTACATCTTGCCACCAAATTTACCTGTTATTTAGCTGACACTGCCAATGTCTTCTTCTGAGATCACCTTTGATGTCAAAGAAGAATTTATCTGCTCTTAAAGGAATTTATGAAATTATTAAAAATATGTAGATTTCAACTTTGCATTTTATAAATGGGGTATTTTATTCTGCAATTATCAATTTTAATTAGCAGCTATTAATTCAATTCTCGTAAATTTATTTGATCTTCTGGCAAGTATAAGTAGGCACACAGAGATATGAATATACTTTCTCATACACTTATTGGACAGAGCATAAGCAGGGCTTATTTCAGCTGGCGTTCACAGCCCTAGGTTGACCAGCTAGAAAAGCTAACCGCTGCACCGGTTTCTGTGTGTTTCAAGGGACTGCCTTAAATTCATGACCACCTTATTATTGTTATTGTCCACTGAGTCAACCCAGTCAACTGAGGGCTGAGAGTGACGGGCCCATTTACTTTTAGGTAAATGTGGCGTGTTTCATTTGGTCCTACCAAGAGGACAAGGTATGAACTGGAATTTGAGCAGCCCCTAACTGTGCTCTGTGCTCAATATACTATTCAAGAAAAATAATTCTTACAAAAGTGTGATAATACTCTGCCTCTTTCTTTCTTTTTCTTTTTTTCTTTTTTCTTTTTTCTTTTTTCTTTTTTCTTTTTTCTTTTTTCTTTTTTCTTTTTTCTTTCTTTCTTTCTTTCTTTCTTTCCTCCTTCCTTTTCCTTTCCTTTTTTCCTTTTTTGGTTCCTTGTTGCAGCACATACTTTAATGCTAACCCACAGGAATCAGGGTAGGCAGACATGAGAGGAAAAGAAAGAAAAAAAGAAAAACAGCAAGTGCAGTGCCAACTTGGTCAACCTAAGGGCATCCCATGAAAACCAATGGGATTTAAATTCCTTAGGGCCAACTTGTCCCATTTTCTTTTCACTACATCTTTTGAAACATGATTAAGTCTGGATCCAACCCGGTGACACCCGTAGCTGCACTGTTTCTCAGGCTGTATCAGCTTTTCAAGTAAAGTTTGATCACTCAGTCAATACTTGATATCCTTAATTTTTACGTAAGCAGACAGAAGAAGTAAATACAATTATGGAGAATACTTTCCCACTTAACCCCAGGTTCCACATGTATATTTCATGCGGCTTGTTCTGAGAACAACTAACATATAGTTAATTTTTTTTCTCTTGTGGGATATCTTTCTACCCACACATTCTTCAGCATAAATTCTCAATAAACAAACAGAGTAAGGGTAGCAGGCTTCACTCATAAGTATATACACAGTGGAAGTAAATTTCACTAAAATCAATTAGAATTACATTGCAGTGTGCAATCATGAGATGCTGCCCAAAATGAAATGAATGTGAAGTTTGCTCAAAATTCAGTGATATGATATAAACTTGCCACCAAGCAAGGAACGCATTTTCTGAGGTTTTTCAGATGTGCATACCGAATCAAAACCATTCAATTAACACTGTCGTCTTTCTAAGCAGTCCTGTCTTCTGAGGCAATAGGTTTTAGTTGTCTTTCAATCTGCTGCATTATTCATTTCAGCACGACCACAAGGTGGGCTATAAATTGTTACTTTATCTAATCAAAGGGGACTTAACTCTAGAGAAGGTCAAAGGTTTAATTTTGTGAAGTATTATCTTACACTAGGAGTTTAACCAAAAAACAGAAGAAGAAAAACAGTCAAGAAATTGGTAATAAATGAATCTTTATAGCCTCAGGCATCGGTCTAGTTTAGTTAATAAACTTTCACTGAAGGTTTCTTTCAACTGTTACGGACAAGGAGGTAAAAAAAAAAAAATCTTAAATTACAGCCATGTGTGACTTTTAAAGCAGGAATTCCTTTTTTTAATTTCAGTCCCACCCCCCACAAACTCTAGAAGACAAAGTCTTCAGTATATTAAGCAAAAATGCATACTTTATAACAGATAAAAAGGAACAGTGAAATCATCTTTGGAGAAGGGGTAAAAACAGCCTTCTGTAAATGTGGAATTTTGCGTCCTGATCTTCTGAAATTTGTACATCAGCACCGATCAATTTATAGGGAAAGAAGACTTAAAAGGAAGTACTTCACAGACACAAATATTTTTCTGCCTCAGAAGAAGAAAAAAAGCATTGGATACCACTCCAACAGCAAAGCTTGTATTTCTTTTGAAATCTATCCTCATTTAATTCAGTTGGATGCATCTCTAAATAAAATTACCAATGCTTCACCAATAAACAAAGCTTTTTTTTCCTTTTTTTTTCTGTTTATTTGTGATGATTATGTTTAGTTTAACAACCTTTTGTGATCCTTGCCCTTTTTGCTGCACACCTACTG